ACTTGTCATCGTTGTCAGTAGCTATATTGTACTATAATATATGTTACTGAGGTTAAGTCATGTTTTTCTCCTATGGTCTCTTCCTTTTTATTCTCACTTTTTAACACTCATTTTGTATTTAATAAGTTTGTGACTTCTTGATGTAGTTGCTGTATTAAGCCACAACATCTTTGTCTTAAACTCACAGTGAGAAGTGTTGGAGCCAAGTAGTTTTACAAATGTATTTTAGTCATGTAGCAGGTTTCCATGTTGAAGAACCTCCATAAAGTTTCTCTCTGTTGTTGTGAATCTGATTGTGGTTTCTGCTGTGCTCTGTGTTACAGTGATACAGGGTCAGAGTCGCTGGGGAGTGACTTACACTCACACTCACATCTGTGCCTTTAAAGGATCAACAGTGAAAATAAGCTGCAGCTACAGTTACCCATCCAGAATAAAGGGTCAACGAACTACAGTTGAGGAAACATTCTGGTTTACTAAAAGGATTAATAATGCACCATTGGATCTGATAACAGACTCAGACTACAGAGGTCGTGTGGAGTATAAATGTCATATATGGAACATCTGCACTCTGACAATCAGAGACCTGAGGGCGTGAGGATCACCGCTCCCCTCCAGTGTGTGAGTTTACTCCACAGTGTCACTAATACAATGTGAAACTTAAACCTTCCACTACACAGTTTATGTCTAATATTTGAGCAACCTTTGTATAAACTATTGACTAATTAATATTCACTTCCACTTTATAAAGTCGTCCTTGATTTAAAGTTAAAATGAGAATAAAACACATTTTCATATTGATGTCAACGTCTCCTCATATTCCCTCCTCCAGATGCTCCAAAGCTTCTCTCTGTGTCAGTGAGTCCCTCTGGTGAGATAGTGGAGGGCAGTTCAGTGAATCTGACCTGTAGCAGTGATGCTAACCCAGCAGCTAATTACACCTGGTACAAGGAGAATGAAGACTCACCAAAAGCTTCAGGACAGATCTTCACCATCACTGACCTCAGACCTGAACACAGTGGGAATTATTACTGTGAAGCCCAGAACACAAGAGGACGTCGTAACTCCACCTTAAATCTGACTGTTGTAGCAGGTGAGTTACACACATTCATCTACACACACCTGTTTACTGCACTAGAGCTCATCAACATAAAGAAACTTTCACTGATGCAAAGAAAGTCTGAGGATTTCCAGACTTCTTGTAGCTGTGTACTGAGACCTCCATCATACTGAACATGGACGACACTGACTGACTGACTGACAGCATCACCTGACAAACTGATCTATCAGTCTAATCTTACTGCTAATGTCTCCTCTCTGTTGGTCTCACTCTCCAGGTAAATCAGTATTAATTATGAACATCATCAGATTGACTCTGGTGGTCCTGATGCTGATTCCACTGGTCGTCTTGAGTCTGTGGACGAGGTAAAACAATAAAAATCCATCAGTTCAGTCGCTGCTCTTTTATTTTCTTCTTCAAACTTCCTGTAGTTTTTGGTTTGATGAATTTCATTATGTTAAATCTTGTATTTGTTGTTGGTTTAAATCCAGGAAGAAGAAGAAAACTCTGAATTTAAACTCTGAACCAAATGAAGCTGTAGAGATGATGGAGGTGAGAGACAGAGAGGTCCTACAAAACTTACACAACTTACTCTCTATCACAGTTATTATAACTTGGCTCATAAACTCTCTGGAAACTGAAGAAGATGTGAAGTGAATTTATATTTAAAATACAACTTTCTCATTATGAACCAGTAAAGTATTTGACCACATCACATTTCATCACATAATTCAGTTTTAAACAGGATTAAAAACATTAGAATAAAATGTAATTGTATGCAGGTTTGATGAATGAGGTCCAGTGAGTGTCATTTTGTCACCTCTCTCCATCAGGTAGACTCTTGTCCTGGTTATGAGAACAGCACCACTGCAGCACAGACACAAGACACAGAGGAGCAGGAAGACCTGGTGTGAAGTTACAGTCAGGTTAGAGCCTCTCACACTTAATGAAAGAAATAGATAAATAACACACAGACTCCAGATTTATAATTACAACTGTAACTTTACACAGGTTTCATGTGATCTTTTTTAGATGATGTTGAAGCAAAGGTGGGACTCACCTGGTGGAAACACGAAGTAGAACAACATTGATTTCAGCTTTAAAGATTTTTCTGTTAATTTTCTACTTATTATTTTATTTAGCAGCTATGAAGACAGATAAAGTTTCAATCTGTTCTTTTGTTCTGATTGATTTTCCTCAGTTTTGTCTCTATGTGGATGAAATGTGCCACTGTGCAGTTAGTATTTTTATTAGTATTCAGGATGTTACTGATATGAAGATGCAACGACACAGTTTATATTGAAGAGGACCTTATCTTATATTTGAGCTGTCAGTCTCCAGGATCTCTAATGAAATAAAAATGGATTGTAGTTCACTAAATGTGAAGTCTTTTCAGAATAAAAGCCCATCATTGATCGCTTGGGCAACACTCTTAATTATAATTTTAAGAATTTGCCAGTGCAATATTTCTAAGATTTAATTCAGCAGTATAAACCAATGACATGTCCTGAACTTAATCTGTGTAAAAAAAAAACAAACAAACAATAGTTTTAATAATAAAATGTAAAAATAAAGTACCAAAAGTAAATTCAAATTTGACCAAACAGTGGATGGTGAAATGCTTTTTCACGGCCTTGATCCTCTGACGTTTTAGTGCCCTCTACTGATGAAGCTCCAGTGTTGCCAGTTCAGGCTTGACAAATGTTTTCTGTTGCTGCGCTGTGGTTTGGAGGTTTGGTGACTCATTTCCTGTGAGCTGGAATATTTCTCCATGGCAACAAATCACACCTGAGGTCCTTCACATTTCTTCCTTATACCTTTAAATTGTAACTCATTATTTTGTTGCTTCACCTTTTGGAGGGAATTTTTTTCTTCTCATCGTGTTGTAGTTTCCAAATGCTGCCAGTAGATGTAAGTAAAGAGTTATATTTTATTGATATTACACCAGTTCCACTGTCCTCACTTCCTCTTCTGTCTGTGTATACAATATCTCCACCAGGTTCTTTTTCTTCCCTGAGTTTTCTTTAACCAGTTTTTATTATCACAGCTGCTCTCATTTTTGAATAGTTTCTATTGCCTTACCTGCTCATTACAATAATCTGTGTTGTTCTTGTATGCTCTCCTCTACATATATTTTAATCTATTGATATGAAAATTATTTATTTTATCATTATATATTTTTTCTTTTTCTATATTTTAATGTCATTTACAGCATTAATTTTCATTGAATGTACTATTTTATTCCATTTTAAATCTTTCTTTGATGTGTCTTTCTTTAATGTTAACTTTTCTTGCGTCTGTCTTTGTGTTTTGAAGGAGACTGTTTTGCATCTTTTTGAGACACTGAACTCTCTCCAACACAGAGGATGAAATAAAAAATGTCTTTTTCTTCTGTCTCTTTGAATCGTCTCTCTTGCACTGTGTTTACCTTTGCATAAACCACAAGTTACAGTAGGCCTTCTTCTTCACTTGAAGTTCAATCTACTGGATTCTGCATGTAAATGATGTAAAGAGGAAGGAAGTTGGATGTATTTTTAACAGCTTGAATTCTGTCCTTTGCTTCCAGTTTCTTTCTGTATTGCAGGTTAAAGTGTTTGTGATGTGACTGATTTACTTCTTATCTGCAGATTTGTTTCACTGTGTTTGAAGTCACACAGAGATGAGAGGAGCAGCTCAGAGCTTAACCGCAGCAGCGAGTGGATTTGTCGTCGTCCTCCTTCTCACTGTGCCAGGTATTGTGTATCTACATTTATGTTGTAAGGTATTAAACCAAACCTTAAGTCAGTTCAAGAGAGAAAAGTGTATAAAGAAGTCATTTATTCATTTTCAGATCACCAAGTTTTAGGTTTCATCTGTAAAGTGATGCAGTGTGATACAAATGGAGCAGATCCTTAACACTAAATATTCACTGTTGTCTCTTTAAAATTGGACATGTGAAGTGAACTGGGCACTGGTTGTGTCCGGATTGTTAACACACAGTGGTTTGTGGATTATTTATCCTTTTACCTACTTCACTGTATGTTAAAGTGTTGCGTACATTAAGGGTAGAAGAGGGTAGAAGTCTTGGATATGTTTATTTTTTTATTAATTTGCTAGAATTATTGATCATAAATGAAAGCGGAAGCATATTGTCTGCAGACACTTTTACGTGGGGAGGAAGGGTGGAGTTTCTTGAGACTGATCAGCACCAGCCGCTTTGCTCCATCTTGTTTTGTTTAATTAAATACACTTGTCAGGTGCACGCAGCGCTCTGCAAAAAAAACACAGGACTTCCCAAACTTTCTGCAGACAAAATGGAAGGAAGTAGGTTAATGGATATGTTCACGGCACGAAGCAGAAAATGGCGCTCGATTGTTAAAGTGTAAGCACAAAGCTGCTGCTTCAAGTTGATGTCAGACTTTTATTTAAAAAAGGCTTTTTTATTATTGATAGTGCAATACACTGTATATTATTATAATATGGCAGCGTGGACATAAAATCCCTTTACATCAAGTTTATATCTGGGAGTTGAAGGTAAAACAGTCTTTCTCTTGAATATTGCTCAGGTGAGGAAGCCATGTGACCTTATAAAGAGAAACAGATGTTATTCTTCATGTACAGAAGCTCATTTCTGCCAAGAACAGGGAAAAATCCATGAGCAGTCAAATATGATTTACTAAATCATTTATGATAGTAAATCAAAATGAGTTAGTACAGTCTCATAATTTTGACTTAACAAAACAATTAAGACAAATACAAAGTATAGTATTTATATTTATCTTTATTTTCTTTGCCTAACAGATGAGGGTTTACATAGTGTGTGTGTGTGTGTGTGTGTGTGTGTGTGTGTGTGTGTGTGTGTGTGTGTGAGAGAGATCTGAATGCAACCCTGATTTAAGGCTGCTCTGCTGCTCCACACCTGATTTTGAAAACAGCATCTTTAATGTCTTAAATGACCGAAGCTGAAGCACCAACATTGATAAATATCCCAGTGGTAAAAATACAAGTTGAAATGCCTGTTAAAATACTGTAGTTCTAGTTTTTAAATTCGATGATCTAGTGTGAACTCGCAGGATCTCCATGGCACCTGGTTTGACATCCCTGGATCTAGTTTTGGAAATGTAGTTCAGTTGTACAAAGATGGAAGTGAAAATAAATGTGTTCTCTGGTGCTGTTGTGAATCTGATTGTTGTTTGTGCTGTGCTCTGTGTTACAGTGGTACAGGGTCAGGATGACTGGGGAGTGACTTACTCTCCTACTCAGATCTGTGCCCTTGAAGGATCAACGGTGGAAATAAACAGTCTCTTCAGCTACCCATCCGCAGTCAGAAGGGTTTCTACTACAGTTCAGGACACATTCTGGTTTAGGAAAGAGATAGATGGGGTTTATTCAGATCTGAGAAGAGTCCCAGAGTATTCACGTCGTGTGACGTATCACTGTGACAACAAGAAGTGCACTCTGACAATAGAAAACCTGGTGAAGAGCGACTCAGGTGTGTACAAGTTCAGGTTCATAACAAACCAATCAGGTGGGAAATATACTGGTGAACCTGGAGTCACTTTGTCTGTCACAGGTAACATATACAACGGAAGTCAAATTCAAATGTTAGTGTGTATGTTGATAATATAGAATAACATTTATGTTTGATGTTCACAGACCCTCAGATCCAGGTGAATGTCATTCAGGTTTTTACCAGCACAAGGTTGAATTGTCACAGCAGTTGTCATCTACCTGATCATTCTTCCTACATCTGGTACAAGAATGAACGAGAAGTTCACAATGAACAAGGAAAATATTTTCATCTATACACATTTGGTCCTGAAGACAACTATCGCTGTGCTGTAAGAGGACGTGGGGATTTCCGTTCACCTCCAGTGTGTGAGTTTACACCTCTTTGTTCATTAATGATATAATCTGATGGAAGTTTTAAACCCACTAGTCTAGAGGAAGTTAAATTCAATATTATATCTGATACATTTTCATCTGTTTTTTGTGAACAAAGCAAATTTGTTCTGACCAAAATGTGATTGATTTACGCAGTTTAATGGATTTAATTATTGTCTTTATAGATGTAATCTCTCTTTAGAAGTTTGTAGTATGATAGCATTCTGATATTGTGTATGTATGTTAACGTATCCTCCAGATGCTCCAAAGCTTCTCTCTGTGTCAGTGAGTCCCTCTGGTGAGATAGTGGAGGGCAGTTCAGTGACTCTGACCTGTAGCAGTGATGCTAACCCAGAAGCTAAATACACCTGGTACAACAAAAATAGAAATGGAAATCCGTTTCTCAAAGGATCACTTTCCTTCTGGTCCATCCAGTCCTCACACTCTGGAGAGTATTACTGCACAGCTGAGAACGAGCTGGGGAGGAGATCAGCAAGCACCTTTATTGATGTGAAATGTGAGTGAAATACAGGTTATTAGGTTTAGAGAGATTAAATCTGTCACATTCATTGTAGTTCATTAAAGCGACACTCCTCTGATTTTACACATGAAGTTTAGTTGGTTTTTTGGGATATCCTCTGTATGATGTCTTTTGTAGTTTCAGTGGGAGGGCTCCATATTTTTGAAAAAATAACCTTGATGATGCCAAGGTTTTTTCAGATTGGGCTCCTCAAGTTTGCCATACACACAAAGTATTGAAAACAATATGAGCCACAAGAGTAATGCACCGTCAACTTATAATAATCTATATTCATATACAGATCCTCCAAGGATTCCCTCTGTGTCAGTGAGTCCCTCTGGTGAGATAGTGGGGGGCAGTTCAGTGACTCTGACCTGTAGCAGTGATGCTAACCCAGCAGCTAATTACACCTGGTACAAGGAGAACCAAACACTGTTTCAAGGACCAGAAGGAGTTTATCATTTCACTTCCATCAACTCTGAGGACAGAGGGAACTACCACTGCAAATGTGAGAATCACTATGGACAGATCAACTCTTCAGCTCTACATGTAGATGTCCAGTGTAAGTTGCATTATTTATTTTTAATTATACAGAAAACTGTACTTGTCATGCATGCTAATATTAATGGAATGTGTCTCCATATGTTGTTTAATTGTCTCCCAGATGCTCCAAAGCTTCTCTCTGTGTCAGTGAGTGGTGAGATAGTGAGGGCAGTTCAGTGAATCTGACCTGTAGCAGTGATGCTAACCCAGCAGCTAATTACACCTGGTACAAGGAGAATGAAGACTCACCAAAAGCTACAGGACAGATCTTCACCATCACTGACCTCAGACCCTGAACACAGTGGGAAATTTATACTGTGAAGCCAGAACACAAGAGGACGTGGTAACTCCACCTTAAATCTGACTGTTGTGGAGGGTAAATCTTTAATTCACTTTTTCACATTCACATCAAACATCACAATCCATATGATGTAATGGGTAATGATTGTATTGCATTATACAAACTGTGTCCTCGTTCTCTCTTCATGGAGGTAGACAGGTAGGATTTACTGAGGGACTGTTGTATGAGACTGCATTAGTTTGAACTCAGTGTACCTAATGAAGTTGCATCTGAGTGTTTGTGAACATTAAAATCATTTTTGTTATATCACTCCATGGGGACATCGAGGTAAAATATCTTTACATGTCTAAATTTAAGTTTTTATTTCATCACAGTTTTGCCTAAAGCTTTGAAATCAGCCGTCATTGGGACAACTTCTGCCGTTTTCCTCGCTGTCATACTCCTCTCTGCCTTCCTACTGATAAGGTGAGCACATGTGTTTTATTAAAGCATTGTTTGTTAAATATCTCAAAACCAGTCATTAGCTGTCACTTTGGCAACTAAATTATTATATGTTTTTATTAATTGTGACCAGAACAAAGAGGACGTCCAAGCAATCGTCTGAGCCTGGAGAGAGACCCGACTACAGTGACCAGGTGAGGAACAGGTTGCACCGTTCAGTGTAAAATCAGAAGTGAAACACCATTCTGGTTCTTCAGTTCAATTCACACAGCTGTGGGTGCAGGTTGAAAATGAATCTGATTGAAAAGCACTTCATTCAGAGACAGATAAAATACATACTCTGTCTTTTATGTATTTCTGTTTCTAGATTGCTGAAGATATTTCCATTTTAAGCAAATGTAATAGTTTTATCTCTTCTGACAAATATCTTCTTAGAAACACTTTTTCTGACTTCTGTTAACTCTTTCTTTGATCTTTCTCTTGGACGAGACCTATTACATCCAGAATCTTGTATTTCAACATATTTTCTAACACACCAACTTATCACCTGGTTCAACAACAAACTGTCACTGAATGTAAACAAAACGAAGGAGATCACTGTTGAGTTCAGGAGGAACCATGCAGTACACGCTCCACTCAACACCAACAGCAACACGGTGGAGCCAATCAAAAGCACCAAGTTCCTTGGGGTGCACTTAGTAAATGACCTGATCTAGACTGCAAACACCACCTCTCTTGTCAAGAAAGCCCTGCAGCGCCTGTGACGGGTCAGGAGAGCAAGCCTCTTGTCCTGCATCGTGACCCACTGCAGCTCTACCTGCAGCTGCATCACCTCAGGCCAGAACTTCCTTCAGAGAGTGTTGAGGACAGCTGAGAAAATCATCGGCACCTCTGTCCCACCTAGACAGAACTTGAATCAGAGATGCAGCCTGAGCAGAGCAAACAGAATAGCCAGACTCTACCCACCCATAGACTGTCTATCCTTCTGTCCTCTGGCAAACGCTACTGTAACATGCAGTTCACGTCGACCAGGTTTTACAAGACCTTCTTCCCACAGGCTGTCAGACTCCTCCATTCCCTTTTAAAATGCCAGGCTTGGCATGGAGGCCCTAGCAGCCAGTTCCATCAGTCTGTGACCTAAAGGACAGACTGGGGCAGTTCACACCTGTGGGTGGGTAGGAAAGAATTCCTGCTTAGAGGGAAGATATTATGTTATCTTGAGGTCTTTTTCAGTAGTAAGGGTAAAAAGGAGAACAAGATCATCAGAAGATTCGAGCCTTCAAGCTGGATAATGCGGCTGTGGAGAAGGACCTCTGGGCTACCTTGCTTTGCCTGATGTCACCTCGACTCGGACAAAGAACAAGTGAAAGAAAACAGATGGATGAAAACACGTACTATTTGAGGTTCTACTAAAGTTCAATATCACTACACATTAAAGGTTCAAAAATGAATTTGTCTTTGCAGTATCACTCCAATCAGTCGGAGGAACAGGTAGAACTTCACTACGCCAATGTCCGCTTCTTGAAGAACCAGACAGATCCTGTCTACTCCAACATCAATCCAGCTGGACCCCGCAGACACGAGGAGACGGAGGAGGACGAGGAGGATGGTGTTCAGTACGCTGTTGTCAAATTTAACAGTTCTGCCCCGAGGTGAGCATCTCTTCCTGCAGAAACTTTATCCTCACTAACACCTCAAGACAAAATGTCTCCACAACCTCCTGATTATTTCTTTATTGATTTTGTCTCCTCTCAGAACCATAAGTCAGGAAACCGAGGAAGATCCAGCTGCATTGTACAGTACAGTCAACAAAACCGTCTGACTCTTGTCAGCCAGTCCGTCAGTCGTTCCACCACTGTTGAACTGAAATATCTCCACAACCACTGGATGGATTGCCATAACATTTTGTACAGCCAGTCACAGTCTCCAGAGGATAAAACCTTCTGACTTTAGAGATCCTCGGACTCTAGCGCCACTCGCAGATTGACATTTTTGGTTTTTACCGACATGTCTTGACAACTGTTGGATAAATTGTTGTATAAATAGTGGTACAAGAATGCAAGGTACCACAAGGAAGAATCCTAATGACTTTGGGTAGTTCCCGGCTTTCATCTGTCTATCTGAAATATATCAGCTACTTTCATGCTCTGCAATGCAACTAGTGGTTAAAAAGTCTCTTTAACTGACCTTTAACCTTAAATAAAGATTAATGTAAACATGACATTTTATAACTTGTAACTCAGATGGCTAACAGTTTGTAAGCTTATACTTTTTCCATTCAATTCATGTATAATATTTGCTATTTAAAGCACATTAGTGCAACAAGCATTGTGACCCAGTTGTAGTGTCATACTGCTGCCACTAGATGTTAGTAAAGAGTCGTGTTTTACTGATGGGATAAGACTCTGTCAAGTAGCCTACACTTATTTTTCTGCACTCTTTTATCAAAATATCCCTCTTTAGTTGAAATGCTCACATCTCATAACTTTGAAGCACATAACTTCTGATGAAGGGTCACAACCACATAGCTTCATTTTAAGGAGTCACTAGCAAGAGAGTTTGGAAAGCAGTGAAGTGAAACTACTGTGTGCAGTGGAGAATTGGTCTGTCGCGGTCGACATGGAAGACGTGTTCAACCAAATGAAGAGACCACATACACTTAAAAAAAGTGTGATCACACTCATTGTCATTATAGCTACAGTCTGTCTTTGCTCTGTTCACACCGTAATGTTTCTTGACAGAGACTAAAGTGAGTGAGTGAGTGAGTGAGTGAGTGAGTGAGTGAGTGAGTGAGTGAGTGAGTGAGTGAGTGAGTGAAGGCTTGTGACCACAGTGTGAATTTGCAGTGTGTATGTGAGACATGCATACATTTTAGTGTTATTTCATTTTTCAAATTACTTTTTTCTCCTTGACTTATGATGTTTGACACAAACAGCTCTGATTTCTTTAAACCTAGAATGATAACATCTAATTACAAACAAGTCTTGTTCCCAAAGCGATATACACTCAGTTGTCAGTTTATTAGGAACACCTAGCTAAATCTGATGCAGTCAAATACACCAGTCCTGCAGTAAATCCTCCATGAAGGTCGTGATGTTTTTTCTGTTGCTTCTTTGTGTTGTCTGTTGAGAACTGACTATTTCCTGGCCTGATGTTCACGCTGCATATTAATATAAAGGGGAAGGAAGTCTATTCTCTACTGCTCATTCTCATGAGCACAGGAGGTCAAGACAGTACTGTTCTACATTGTGAGTAGAAGAATTGGATGTAACTAATGTATAAGTTCTGTACATTAATTCTTTTTTGATGTGTTTTATTGTCTCTGGAGTCACACAGAGAGATGAGAGGAGCAGCTATGAGTTTAACAGCAGCATCAAGTGGATTTGTCGTCCTCTTCCTCACTGTACCAGGTACTGTACATCTACATTTACTCTGTAGGACGTTCAGTAAACTTACTGAGAACAAGCTGAAACAGGATGAATAAATAAATGTGCAGTTAATGTTGTTTTTCTAATGTGATTTTTCTCTATCATCACTTGTTTAGCTGTTTTTTTATTGTGCTGTTAAACCAAAGTCCTTAGATCTGTTCAGTGTTTTCACACATGCAGCATCTCTCAGTATCTTTGACCTCAACATTTTAGTGGTGAGTGTTATTGCACAGTAAGAGTTGTGCTGTTTGAATTAACTGTATAAATGGAGCTGTAAGTGGTTCATCTGAAGGATTCAGTAACTGAAGAGTTAATCTACAAATGTCTTTATATTCTGTTTAAGAGAACAAGATAACACCTACCAAGGCTCAAAATGAGGAACCAAATGTTATTAGTTAATTGTGTTACTTGCTGATGTCAGTGTGATATTTCCACTTCCTGTATGGTCAACACCAACCTGACCACAGAGTGAACAGAGAGGAAACTAAACAAGAAAATTTCACACGCTCTAATAATAATAATTGATTCCTCTCACACTGTTCATTACAGCTGCATTAAGATTCACAGGTCCAATGGTTTTCTGTTTGGACTTCTCCATGTCTGTGTTCACTGTGGCTTAATACAGCAACTACATCAAGAAGTCACAAACATTATTAACATCATGAGTTTAAAAGTGAATAAAAAGGAAGAGACCATAGGAGAAAAACATGACTTTACCTCAGTAACATATATATAACAATATATAACAACATGACAGACATCTTTGTCTTAAACTCACAGTGAGAAGTGTTGGAGCCAAGTAGTTTTACAAATGTATTTTAGTCATGTAGCAGGTTTCCATGTTGAAGAACCTCCATAAAGTTTCTCTCTGTTGTTGTGAATCTGATTGTGGTTTCTGCTGTGCTCTGTGTTACAGTGATACAGGGTCAGTAAGGCTGGGGAGTGTTTTACAGTCGAAAACACATCTGTGCCTCTAAAGGATCAACAGTGGAAATAGTCTGCATTTACAGATACCCATCCAGAATAAATGGCTGTGATACTACAGTTGAGGAAAGTCTCTGGTTTATTAAATTTAGTGACGATGAACCTGTGGATCTGAGAGCAGACTCAGAGTATTCAGGTCGTGTGCAGCATCACTGTAAGAAGAACAGGTGCACTCTGAGAATCTCAAACCTGAGAGAGAGCGACTCAACTAAGTACAAGTTCGGGTTCATAACAAACCAGGAAGGAAGGAAATATACTGATGATTCTGGAGTCACTTTGTCTGTCACAGGTAACATTTTTACTTGAATATTTCTTTTAATCTAAATTTTCATACGATAACTACTGGTTACAGATCGTGGGAAGATGGTAACTCCCTCCTCAGTTCAAGCATGGACATTACTGCAGGTTGTGAATACCTGATGTTTCTGCTTTAGGTTGGTGTTCAGACAGATGTGTGTGATGCCCCTGTCGACTTTCACATAAAAACAAGTGTGTAGCGTTGGCGTCTTACCATCCTCTTTCTGCACAGAGACCACTTGTCATCACATGAATGAAATTTCACATTTAAGTCACATAATGGCACAAAAGACAGAAGACCACTACATTATGACTGAAAGCTCTAAATAGTAAAAGTATCATTGAGATTAGATTCACTTCTCCATGTGTTGTTCCATAGGAGCAGAAAATAACATCCATCCGTAGATACTGTGAATGTGTTTGGGTATTTACACGTGTGTATGAATTGAAGTTTTACTTCCTTCTTTGCAAAACCAGGTCTGCAGGTGCAGGTGATCAGGTCAGGACATTACCAGTATCATGACTGGGTGGAACTGAAGTGTGGCAGCAGTTGTCGTCTACCTGATCATTCTTCCTACATCTGGTACAAGAATGGACAGAAGATTCGGACAGAAACACCTTCTTTTTCAGTCTACGTTCATTCTGCAGACAGCTTTTCCTGTGCTCTGAAAGGACATGAGGATTCCTCTTCTCCTTCAGTGTGTGAGTTTACTTCAGTCTTCCACTTGCATAACACCATCTGGTGGTACATTGAAACTATTGCATTGTCCCATGACTGCATGTATTTATGATTTGAAGGACTCTGTTCCCTCTTTGCTTATTACCATCATCTTATTGTATTGAACTCTGCTGCAACTTAACAACAACACAACCCTGTGTTTAACATGTAGGTGTTACAGTTGAGTTTAAAGAAGGTTTTATCTTTCAGGTGTCTCTGGTCGATCCTGCAACAGAGTGACTTACACTGACAGAAGAATCTGTGTCTCCAAAGGCTCATCAGCTGAGAACGAGCTGGGGAGGAGGACGTCTGAATTCACATTTAGTAATGTTGAATGTGAGTCGAAGAAAGGAGCTTATTGAGAAATATAACATGTAGCATATGATTCTCAATTTTTAGGTTTTATTCCCTTGAAAAGTGTTCATGCAAATAAATGTTTTCTTAAGATCTGTCAGCTTCACATCCACAATTTACTGCTAGATCTCATTGAGATGCTTTAGTGGTTGTTCATGGAGAGGTTTTACTCACTGTTTGCAATGTGAGTCTTATTTTATAATTAACTTCTGTCAAATCATCTCCTCCAGATGCTCCAAAGCTTCTCTCTGTGTCAGTGAGTCCCTCTGGTGAGATAGTGGAGGGCAGTTCAGTGACTCTGACCTGTAGCAGTGATGCTAACCCAGCAGCTAATTACACCTGGTACAAGGAGAATGAAGACTCACCAAAAGCTACAGGACAGATCTTCACCATCACTGACCTCAGACCTGAACACAGTGGGAATTATTACTGTGAAGCCCAGAACACAAGAGGACGTCGTAACTCCACCTTAAATCTGACTGTTATGGGGGGTAAGTTAGTTTGGATTTCATAACCCTTCATGCATATTACCCAAATTTTGTGAAAGTCCTTAATCTAAATGACAGAATAGATCCTTGCTAGATTCCCTCCAACACTGACATAAAAGATTCAGAGACACATTTTCTGCGTTTTCCACCTCCATAGTTAAAACTACTTAAGTACAAGTTTGACAGTATCTTTATTAGCTACAAGGCTTGATGAACACTTCTCTGGTCCCTTCCACTTTGAATTACTCCTAACTATATGAAAAAGAGTTGAAGCTTTGACTGAAGTATGTAATGCTAGTCAGACTTGGTGGTAGCTGTAGTCATCTTTGAAGGTTGGAGCTCAACTTTCTTCCTTTGGCCTCATGAACTTGAAACTGGCTCGTAGTACACCATGAACGGCTGCAAGATGTTGGAAAACCATATTATTACTATATTGGGTAACTTCACGTCACACCCTGATTAATGTAATCTGTTTTTCATTTGATCACTCTTTCTAGGAGCGTGGAAGTTATATGGTGTTGCAGCAGTCTCTGCTATTGTCCTCGCAGTTATACTCACATCTGTCTTCCTCTGGATCATGTGAGCAGCTCTGTTTCACCAAACAATGTATGTTCATTTTAGCAGTGAGTTTAGCTCTTGAGTTAACATTTTGAATGAATTTTCCTGACCAGGAAAAAGAGGGTCTTCAAGCAGGGGTCTGAGCCTGGAGAGAGACGAGTCGACAGGGAACAGGTGAGAAATGAAAACCGGCCTACTGCAGTGCAAAAGAAAACCTGCCTGTTTTCATGTATGGGCAAACAATGAATGGGAGAACTGACTTTTGGTTAAGAAGTTTGGCCACAATGTAACACCAGGTGTCGTTCAGTCAGTTACTTTTTCTGGTTGAGCTAGAAACTAAAGATCGTAGGAGTCTTGATTAAACTTTCTATGAAATCCCTATGAACAGGTCTGTCACTGACTGAGTGATCAAGGGTGAATGTTGAAATGTCCCCATTGGCCGTTGCTCTTTCAGAATGATTAGGTTCAAACAAGCAGTGTTGCCAACTTAATACCTTTTTGTTTCTAGATTTACTGACTTCTCAGACCCTTAAATTACTCTTTTTTTGAAAAAAGCACTTAGTGAAGAATCTTGCAGCTTGGCAGACGTTAGTTACTTTCCCTAGAAGACAGCCGTCAGTATCACCCTGCGAGTGCAAGGTCTGGCTTTCCTTCTACAGGCACAGCTGTCTTTGCTGACAGTGGCGACACAATCCAGTCATAGGTTTTGACCCAGTCTTTCACCCAGTGAAATTATACTGTTAATGTTGTGTTATGGAATTTGAAATGGCTCATTCTTAAGCAAAGATGTAACAGACATACAGTTGTAGCAGGAGAGACAAAAGAACTGTTGGACTGAAATATCTCCACAACCGCTGGATGGATTGCCATAACATTTTGTACAGCCAGTCAAAGTCTCCAGAGGATAAAACCTTCTGACTTTAGAGATCCTCGGACTCTAGCGCCACTCGCAGATTGACATTTTTGGTTTTTACCGACATGTCTTGACAACTGTTGGATAAATTGTTGTATAAATAGTGGTACAAGAATGCAAGGTACCACAAGGAAGAATCCTAATGACTTTGGGTAGTTCCCGGCTTTCATCTGTCTATCTGAAATATATCAGCTACTTTCATGCTCTGCAATGCAACTAGTGGTTAAAAAGTCTCTTTAACTGACCTTTAACCTTAAATAAAGATTAATGTAAACATAACATTTTCGCTATTTAAAAGCTCATTAGTGCAACAAGCATTGTGACCCAGTTGTAGTGTCATACTGCTGCCACTAGATGTTAATAAAGAGTCGTGTTTTACTGATGGGAAAAGATTCTGTCAAGTAGCCTACACTTATTTTTCTGCACTCTTTTATCAAAATATCTCTCTTTAGTTGAAATGCTCACATCTCATAACTTTGAAGCACATAACTTCTGATGAAGGGTCACAACCACATAGCTTCATTTTAAGGAGTCACTAGCAAAACAGTTTGGAAAGCAGTGAAGTGAAACATCTAATGACAATCAAGTCTTGTTCCCAAAGCGATATACACTCAGTTGTCAGTTTATTAGGAACACCTAGCTAAATCTGATGCAGTCAAATACACCAGTCCTGCAGTAAATCCTCCATGAAGGTCATGATGTTTTTTCTGTTGCTTCTTTGTGTTGTCTGTTGAGAACTGACTATTTCCTGGCCTGATGTTCATGCTGCATATTAATAATATAAAGGGGAAGGAAGTCTATTCTCTACTGCTCATTCTCATGAGCACAGGAGGTCAAGACAGTACTGTTCTACATTGTGAGTGGAAGAATTGGATGTAACTAATGTATAAGTTCTGTACATTAAGGCTTTTTCGATGTGTTTTATTGTCTCTGAAGCCACACAGTGAGACGAGAGGAGCAGCTATGAGTTTAACAGCGGCAGCGAGTGGTTTTGTTGTGTTCCTTCTCTCTGTGCCAGGTAATGTATAAGCACACACTGCAGTCTTCTTTGTCTCATTGGCTCACAGTGGGATGATGTGAGAGCCAAAGTAGTTGTGTAAGTTTGGAATGAGTTCAGTTCTCTTGCAGGTTTACGAACTGATGCAGCTCCAAAATACTCAAATGTGATTGTGGTTCCTGCTGTGCTCTGTGTTACAGTGATACAGGGTCAGAAAGACTGGGGACTGACCTGCGCTCCAACTCAGATCTGCGCCTTAAAAGGATCAACAGTGGAAATACGCTGCAGCTACAGATCCCCATCCAGGTTAAATGATGCTGATACTGCAGTTGAAGAAACATTCTGGTTCACTAGATTCAGTGATAATGAACCTGTGGATCTGAGAGCAGACTCAGAGTATTCAGGTCGTGTTCAGTATCACTGTGGGGAGAACGACTGCACTCTGAGAATCACAGACCTGAGAGAGAGCGACTCAGCTGAGTACAAGTTCAGGTTCATTACAAACCAACCAGGAAGGAAATATACAGGTGAACCTGGAGTCACTTTGTCTGTCACAGGTAACGTTTTTAATATTTCTATGGTTCCAAATTTTCAAGATCAGGGAAACAGCACTGCTAATGAAAGATGAAAAGGTCCACTTACTAATGACTCTTGGCTTTAATGTGAACTTTTGGTCACATGATGACAGCTGGTTTTATATTGGGGCAAGATGGTAACTCTCTTCTCAGTTCAAGCATAGACATTACTGTAGGATGTGACTCCCTGATCTTTCTCTTCCTGCTCAAGACCACTTGTTATCACATGATCAAAAATATGCATTTAGGTCACATGATGACACCACTAGAAGATGTGGATCATTAACATTATCATTGAGATTCTCTTCACCATAAATTGTTTCTATTGGACAAAAAATGACATCCATGTTTACATGCTGAATGGAAATTATATTTCCTTTCATTCTTCCTAAAACCAGGTCTACAGGTGCAGGTGATCAAGTCAACAGCCGACCATAATAAGTACTTCCACTCAATGCTCAAGTGTCACAGCAGTTGTCGTCTACCTGATCATTCTTCCTACATCTGGTACAAGAATGGACAGAAGATTCGGACAGAAACACCTTCTTTTTCAGTCTACGTTCATTCTGCAGACAGCTTTTCCTGTGCTCTGAAAGGACATGAGGATTTCTCTTCTCCTTCAGTGTGTGAGTTTACTTCAGTCTTCCACTTGCATAACACCATCTGGTGGCACATTCAACCTATTGCACCGTCCCATGATTGCATGTATTTGTAATATGGAGGACTCTCCTCTTTCTATATTAACATCATCTTATTGTATTGAACTCTGCTGCAACTTAACAACAACACAACCCTGTGTTTAACATGTAGGTGTTACAGTTGAGTTTAAAGAAGGTTTTATCTTTCAGGTGTCTCTGGTCGATCCTGCAACAGAGTGACTTACACTGACAGAAGAATCTGTGTCTCCAAAGGCTCATCAGTCAACATTTCTTGTACCTACAACAGTTATAGCTATGTTGAATCAAAATTCTGGTTCAGTCCTGAACGTAGTCGTCGTTGGCAGAATGCCTCAAAGCCAGAGGATCTTAGTAAAGACTCCCAGTACTCAGGTCGTGTTCATGTTCTTGAAGCAGAGAGAGGACGCTCCACTCTGAGAATCACTGACCTGACAGAGAGAGATTCAGCTGATTATCGCTTCAAATTCAAAACACTATGGTTTGAATGGAGGAGCAGTTTACCTGGTACAACTCTGACTGTCACAGGTACAGATCAACACAAACTGACAAACACAACATCGCATTGTAAACATGTACTTTCATAGTTATAATAATACTTACATTTAATGTTTAATGTTGACCACATTTCATTGTGCAGGAGGATTAACATCAGATCAAGGTTTTTTGAACCTGAAAGTTCTTATAAAGTGTTTCACTCAGAACTATAAAGATTATTGTACATCTGTGTGTGTTTTGTATTTTTCAGCTGTTAACCAATAACATTGTGGGTTCTTCCTCCTGTGTCCAGCTCTGGAGGTGCAGGTGACCCGATTAATAACAGGCCATCAGTCTTATACCGAGGCAGAGCTGAAGTGTCTCAGCAGCTGCAGTCCAGCTGGTCGTCTTTCCTATGTCTGGTTCAAGAATGGAGAGCAAATCATGAAGGAGGGAAGTTCTTATAAAGACAGGTTTTATCCTGGAGACGTGATCTCTTGTGCTTTAAGAGGACATGAGAATTACGGCTCTCCCTCAGTGTGTGAGTTTACTCCACTATGTAACCCATCATAACAATAATGTCTGCCCAGGAAAGAATCGACCTCCACTCCTCACTGTGCTTCTCCATCCTTCAAACATATTGATGTTTTCTCCTCCAGATGCTCTGAAGGTGCCGTCTGTGTCAGTGAATCCTCCAGGTGAAATCATGGAGGGCGGTTCAGTGACTCTGACCTGTAACAGTAACTCAGCAGCTAAATACACCTGGTACAAGGAGAACCTACCATTGCCCAACAAAGAACCACAACTTGTCTTCAACTCCATCCAGTCCTCTGACTCTGGACAGTATTACTGTGCAGCTGAGAACGAGCTGGGGAGGAGGACGTCTGATCACAAATTTATTGATGTGGAACGTGAGTCAAAGGAAGGAGCTTATTGAAAAATATAACATGTTGCATATGAATCTTAATTTTTAGGTTTTAGTCTTTTGAAAAGTGTTCATCCAAATGAATGCTTTCTTACGCTCTGTCAGCTTCACATTCACAATCTACTGCTAGTGGTTGTTCATGGAGAGGTTTTAGTCACTGTTTGCATTGTGTGTCTGTTTTTATAATCAACTCATGTCAAATCATCTCCTCCAGATGCTCCAAAGCTTCTCTCTGTGTCAGTGAGTCCCTCTGGTGAGATAGTGGAGGGCAGTTCAGTGACTCTGACCTGTAGCAGTGATGCTAACCCAGCAGCTAAATACACTTGGTACAAGGAGAACCTAAAACTGCTTCAAGGACCAGAAGGAAGTTATAATTTCACCTCCATCAGTTCTGAGGACAGAGGGATGTACTACTGCAAGTCTGAGAATCAATACGGACAGATCAACTCTACATCTCTATCTCTAGATGTCCATTGTAAGTCACATGAGTCTGTTCTATTTTCCATGGTAGAAAAGTCCATCAGAATCATACATGACAATATTAATGAAATGTCTTCATATTCCGGTCATCAGATGCTCCTCAACTTCTCTCTGCCTCAGTTGAGTGGGGGAAGGGCAGTGAGGGCAGTTCAGTGACTCTGACCTGTAGCAGTGATGCTAACCCAGCAGCTAATTACACCTGGTACAAGGAGAATGAAGACTCACCAAAAGCTTCAGGACAGATCTTCACCATCACTGACTTCAGACCTGAACACAGTGGGAATTATTACTGTGAAGCCCAGAACACAAGAGGACGTCGTAACTCCACCTTAAATCTGATTGTTGTAGCAGGTACGTTACACATATACTGCGTCAGAAATCATAAAACACTGTCTGGGCTGGATTTCATAACCCTTCATGCATATTACCCAAATTTTGTGAAAGTCCTTAATCTAAATGACAGAATAGATCCTTGCTAGATTCCCTCCAACACTGACATAAAAGATTCAGAGACACATTTTCTGCTCTTTCCACCTCCATAGTTAAAACTACTTAAGTACAAGTTTGACAGTATCTTTATTAGCTACAAGGCTTGATGAACACTTCTCTGGTCCCTTCCACTTTGAATTACTCCTAACTATATGAAAAAGAGTTGAAGCTTTGACTGAAGTACGTAATGCTAGTCAGACTTGGTGGTAGCTGTAGTCATCTTTGAAGGTTGGAGCTCAACTTTCTTCCTTTGGCCTCATGAACTTGAAACTGGCTCGTAGTACACCATGAACGGCTGCAAGATGTTGGAAAACCATATTATTACTATATTGGGTAACTTCACGTCACACCCTAATTAATTAATCTGTTTTTCATTTGATCACTCTTTCTAGGAGCGTGGAAGTTATATGGTGTTGCAGCAGTCTCTGCTATTGTCCTGGCAGTTATACTCACCTCTGTCTTTCTCTGGATCATGTGAGCAGCTCTGTTTCACCAAACAATGTATGTTCATTTTAGCAGTGAGTTTAGCTCTTGAGTTAACATTTTGAATGAATTTTCCTGACCAGGAAAAAGAGGGTCTTCAAGCAGGGGTCTGAGCCTGGAGAGAGACGAGTCGACAGGGAACAGGTGAGAAATGAAAACCGGCCTACTGCAGTGCAAAAGAAAACCTGCCTGTTTTCATGTATGGGCAAACAATGAATGGGAGAACTGACTTTTGGTTAAGAAGTTTGGCCACAATGTAACACCAGGTGTCGTTCAGTCAGTTACTTTTTCTGGTTGAGCTAGAAACTAAAGATCGTAGGAGTCTTGATTAAACTTTCTATGAAATCCCTATGAACAGGTTCTACCAAACTTCAACACTTATCAACGTCATTATCTGCTATTCATGACCAGGACTTAAATCAAGAACAGCAGCATTAATTTCTCTAAAAAGTCTGCTTCACCATTTTTTTCGTCTTCGCTTTGAATAAAATCCTACATACTGTCTCTCAGAGGATCATCTACGCCTGTAAAATGAATAATTAATGTTTTGTCCAATGACTACAGATCCAGCCAGCAGAACAGCAGGATAACCTTCACTATGCCAGTGTCCACTTTTCCAAAGACCACTCCGTTTCCTCTAATATCAGACCAGCTCCGCCCCGAAGACACAAGAAGAAGAAGAAGAAGGAAGAAGAAGAAATGGTCGAGTACGCTGCTGTCGTATTTAAGAGCGCCAGTGCGGCCGCGAGGTGAGCAGCTCCTCACACTAGAACAATATCAATATCAATGATGGTTTTATTCTGTTGCAATGTTTTATGATGCTTGTTGGGATGTTTGTATCTTTTACATTAATACCAGAATATATATTAAATGTATCTTCACAATTGCCTAATTGAATTTCTTTCCCTGTCAGAACCAGAGGTCAGGAAGCTCCAGAGGATCCCGCTGCATTGTACAGCACAGTCAACAAACCCTGCAAAAAACAGTGAGTCTCTGCTCTACTTTCCATCCATGGTATATATATATATTTTTTTTTCCATTATTATGAAAGAAAATCACAATGAGTTTTAAACCGTTGTCTCATCAAAAAATGCAACACAAATTGCATTTTAATTGCTAGAGAGTTCATGAATTACTGCATAAACTCTGAATGTGACTTTTGTGACACGACAGGCCTTTTAGCTCTGGTCTGATCTCCTCCTCCTGCCTCTATGCAGGTGTTCGAACAGACCCACAGGAGTTGAATGGTGAAACGTCATCCTGCTCCAGTTTCCCATCTGTGGACATGGATAAGTATTTTTGCTGGAATGCACAACCAAGCCAGAGGTACAACTCCCACACACTGAGACCTGGGTCTCTCTGCTGGGTGACAGTTTTGTCCACCACCAAGTTTCTTGTGTATAACATTTGTCACCACCTGTTCATCCTATTTTTGGTTAACATTAGGCTTCACGCTGTATTTTAGCTCTGCAATATGTGTGTGTTTCTGGATATGTATTTTTCAAATCAGCAACAGGAAACCTCCTCTCCTGAGTCGTTCTCTGTTTGGAGGTGTGGACAGTTACCTGAGTAATATTTATTTCATGTCAACAAGACAGAAGTAAAACCCAGCCTCTGACTTATCTCTAGAGTACTGTATCAGTGTGCTAACGGGTAATAAGCTTGTAACATGTAGGTGAAACAGCAAAATAAAACACACACCTTTAAATCATTGGTGTTGTGGAGGAGAATGTCCATTTGCTAATTGGTTGTAGTTTCCTGCTTCTGCCACTAGATGTTAGTAAAGAGACATATTGTACTGATGGTAAATCATTTCCAACAACTTTTCAAGCACAACTTTATCTTTTCTTTATATACAAAATATCTTTTACTGCTCTCCCATTTTCACCAGTTTAATAGATGAATTTTCACTCAAGTATCACTTGTCAGTATTTTTACACACTCTCCTGCTGTTTATTCTTCTCTGTTTATTCTTACAGAAGATTATATGGCTCGCCTGTTTTTGTTCTATACCTGTGTGTACTGGAAACATCACGACTACATTTGTCCTCTGCTCTGCATTGTGTTGTTTGAGTGAACCATGAGCGTTTTTCTCTGTGACATCACAATGTGTTTCTGCTTTGGTTGTTGCTCTGTTAGAAGAGAGGAGCTGAGCAACATGTTAATACACTCATCTGAGTCTCCTTCAGTTATTACCATGTGCTAAGAGCAATAAGCTGAACAAGCAGCACCATGCTTTGCTTTTAAGTAGGGATAGAGTAACAATATAGTGGTTTACATAACATTTGTTTCTATTTTATACTACCATTGTTGCAGAAAGGGAGGGAACTTTCATTTGGACTGGAGGATGAAGTGATGAGAGGTCACTGTGACCTCACAAAACACGTTTTCTGCCATCACTCACAAATTCATGCGCTAATTATGACACAGTTGAACTCAAATGTCTACAAGACTAAAATGAAGTGATGACATTTCATATCCAAATGGTCAAAGCTCAACTTCACTGTGACATAATGTTCAGCAAAGAGATGTGTGGCTATTATGTACCGCTGTAACTCAGGAAGGAGAGATCGGAGGCATGCAACCGCGAGTCAGTAATACTAGGACTTTTTATGTCTTAAACTAAGATACTAACATTTAACACGTTTAAGTCATGGAGTCGAGGCAGTTACAGTGTCTCCTGTAATGTAAAGTAAACAACAGCACGGACTGCACCCTCCAAAATCCAAATCATACAGTTGAATCAACACCTCTTTCACTGAAAGCTGAACATTGAATCCTTCATGCAGGATTTATTGCAGTACTCAATTCAATACACTTTATTTGTCCCCAGGGGGCAGTTTAAAGGGCACATAGAGTAGACATTAAAAAACAGGAGACGAGGCAGCAGCATGTCCTGTGGTTAACATGAGGTAGATGTAGGTTACTAGTAATGAACTGTGACCTTTGTGGGACAGCCCCTCCCTTACACGCTCACTGTTGTGTGTAAAGTTTAATGCTCATCGCTGTGGAGACCTTTGATCTCTGTTTGCTTGAGCCCATTTGCAAATGCTTTAATAAAGTCGGAGAAAAACAGATCCTCGTCATTGTGTTTTGTTACACAGATTTCCACCACACTAAGAAACTGACAACTTAGAGTATACATCAAACTTTCCGTTGTCTGTTGAGAACTGACTATTTCCTGGCCTGTGGTCCACGCTGCTTATATAATGTCAAGAGGAAGGACGTCTTTACTGCTGGTTCTCCTCTATAAGGAGGTCAAGACAATTCCCTTCTACCTTGTGAGTGGAACAATTTGATGTGACTAATGTATAACTTCTTTACATTAATTATTTTCTGATGTGTTTTATTGTCTCTGAAGCCACACAGTGAGACGAGAGGAGCAGCTATGAGTTTAACAGCGGCAGCGAGTGGTTTTGTTGTGTTCCTTCTCTCTGTGCCAGGTAATGTACATCCACATTTACACTAAAGGGCGTGTTGCACATTTATTCAGAGCAGCTTCAGGTGGGATTAGACAATGATGGTTCATGTTAGCACTGCAATCTTTTTAGGCTCTCAAATCATCCCAGTTTGAGTCAATGAGTCAAAGTAGTTGTGTAAGTTTGGAATGAGTTCAGTTCTCAAGGACTGCACGTTGTTGAGGAGGAATTTTTGCCCATTCTTCCTGGCAGAGCTGCTCAAGATCTGCCATATTCTTTGGACGTCTCATGTGTATGGCTCTCTGCAAGTCAATCCATAGCATTTCTATTGGGTTGAGGTCTGGGCTCTGACTTGGCCACTCCAAAAGGCGGATTTTGTTTTTGTGGAACCATTCTGTTGTGGACTTGCTCCGGTGTTTTGGGTCGTTGTCTTGTTGCCCACTTTCTAGAGTTTCAGCTGATGTACAGACACTCTCAGATTATCCTGAAGAATTCTCTGATAAACTTGGGAATTCATCTTCCCCTCAATGATTGCAAGATGGCCATGCCCTGATGCAGCAAAGCAGGCCCAAATGATGAGGTTTCCTCCACCATACTTTACGGTTGGGATGATGTGTTCATGACGATATGCCATGCCCTTTCTACGCCAGATGTAGTGCTGGGTGTTTTTTCCAAATAGTTCAATCTTAGTTTCATCAGTCCACAAAACATTTTGCCAATACCGCTGTGGAGTGTCAATGTGCTCTTTTGCAAACTTCAGGCGTGCAGCAATGTTCTTTCTAGCAAGCAGTGGCTTCCTTCATGGTGTCCTGCCGTAGATTCCCTGCTTGTTCAATGTTTTACGTATTGTAGACTCATGAACAGAGATGTTAGCCAGTTCCAATGATGCCTTCAAATCTTTGTCATTCGGGGTTGTTTCTTTACCTCATTGATGAGTTTTCGTTGTGCTCTTGGTGTCATTTTGACTGGGCGTCCACTTCTTGGTAGAGTAGCAACAGTCCCAAAGTGTCTGCATTTGTAGATTGTTTGCCTAACTGTAGACTGGTGAATTTCTAAAGTCTTTGAAATCACTTTGTAACCCTTGCCAGCTTTATGTAAATCAACAATTCTTGATCGTAGATCCTCTTAAAGCTCTTTTTGGCGAGGCATGGCTCACATAAACGTGTTCTTCTATTGCAAAACAAACTCCAAAAGTTTGAGGGGTATTTATCAGTCAAAGTAGCTTTAGTCCACAACCCCAAACTACATGGTGAGTATTGAACTATTATTGCAAGTATGTTTTTTAAGTCGACAGAAAAAAACGGTGCTACAGACCAACCAAATATTTTTCTTACTATGCTTTGGACCTATCTTAACAGGTGTGTCCACTAATGAAGGAACCCCAACAAGCAACGGTAAGTCATTGTATAATGTTTATTTTCTGCCAGTTTGTTTTCTTTGATTCTCTGTTTGTCTTGAAGTTAAACGGTTGGTTGACCATCATTTTGTGACTCACCCCTGTGTTTGTCAAGCCACGCACATAGTTGTGATTTCATTAGTCGACCTGCAGAGTCGAACACCGCCAGAGTTCTGCATCTGTTTTTGGAATTTGAGTGAACTGAACCTTTAATGCATGTTAGCTCTAAAAGAAATTACCCGAAACTTCACTTCAGTTGATGTATTAGAAGAACTGTGACATGCTGCAACGTAAATAGCAACATCGGATAGTTCATATATATATTGTAAGAGTAATATATGATTAAAATACAGTCAACATTTGTGTTGTGTGAGCGCTTTCATGGGGTGTGAAGCGTCAGTTGTTGCATTTGTTGGAAACAGTAGGTGTTGTGGCACAAAGTACATGTCATGGCCTGAAATATTACACCTTTACTAAAATGTTCATCGTTATATTTGTAGCATCAGAGATGAAAAACTCTCAGCACTTTTCGTGGCATGAGATGTACGTTGAAGACACCATCAGCCTTGGGTCAGATAAGTCCACCACACTGCAGCTGTGTGTGTGTGTGTGTGTGTGTGTGTGTGTGTGTGTGTGTGTGTGTGTGTGTGTGTGTGAATAGTGTTTACTGTTGTAATACTCATTTCAGCCACAAGAGGCTGAAGTGCACCACTACTCCAGTCTAAATAGGATTAAAAGTATTCATGTGTTCATCAGGTGGGTTTTCATTTCTCCTTCACTCTAAACACAAGGTACATGTAGTGTGTGTTAGTAAGTTGTGTAAAATTACTGTCATGTCAGTTTTGTCAACAAATGTTTTCTTATTTGACTCCAGTTTGTGGTTAGTGTCAGTAAATGAGTTTTTAGCCTGGTAGCTGGTGAGTCACAAGCATCAAATGTGGGTCCACAGCTTGTTGCATGTCAGTGTGGGGTCTCTTACAAGAAAAGCTTTGACAACCAATTGTCTAAGAACCAATTGTTCGACGGTCAACGCAACATCCTGCCAAAAACATTTGTCACCTGTTCTCTCAAAAATGGCAACAAAATGACTTTAAGTCAGACTTGTCAGACTTCATGCATATTAATGATGGGAAGAGGAAGGAAGTCTGTCTTTTTTCACAGCTTGATTCTTTCCTCTGTTTGCAGCGTTTTGCAGAGAGGAACATCACCTTTCTCTACTGTAAGACGAGAATCAATTTTCCATTGATATTTCTTGCATATATTTATCAGCTGATTGTTTGATTGTCTCTGGAGTCACACAGAGAGATGAGAGGAGCAGCTATGAGTTTAACAGCAGCATCAAGTGGATTTGTCGTCCTCCTCCTCACTGTACCAGGTACTGTACATCTACATTTACTAGGACGTTCAGTAAACTTACTGAGAACAAGCTGAAACAGGATGAATAAATAAATGTGCAGTTAATGTTGTTTTTCTAATGTGATTTTTCTCTATCATCACTTGTTTAGCTGTTTTTTTATTGTGCTGTTAAACCAAAGTCCTTAGATCTGTTCAGTGTTTTCACACATGCAGCATCTCTCAGTATCTTTGACCTCAACATTTTAGTGGTGAGTGTTATTGCACAGTAAGAGTTGTGCTGTTTGAATTAACTGTATAAATGGAGCTGTAAGTGGTTCATCTGAAGGATTCAGTAACTGAAGAGTTAATCTACAAATGTCTTTACGTTCTGTTTAAGAGAACAAGATAACATCTACCAAGGCTCAAAAATGAGGAACAGATTTGTCAATTATTTTGTTACTTGCTGATGTCAGTGTGATGTTTCCACTTCCTGTTTGGTCAACAGTGACCTGCCTTCCTGATCTACTATCACATACAGTACAACCACATGCTACACACATACAATACATACATACACATACTGAGCACCAACCTGACCACAGATGAACAGAGAGGAGAAACTAAGACAAGGAAGTTTCACACGCTCTAATAATAATAATTGATTCCTCTCACACTGTTCATTACAGCTGCATTAAGATTCACAGGTCCAATGGTTTTCTGTTTGGACTTCTCCATGTCTGTGTTCACTGTGGCTTAATACAGCAACTACATCAAGAAGTCACAAACATTATTAACATCATGAGTTTAAAAGTGAATAAAAAGGAAGAGACCATAGGAGAAAAACATGACTTTACCTCAGTAACATATATATAACAATATATAACAACATGACAGACATCTTTGTCTTAAACTCACAGTGAGAAGTGTTGGAGCCAAGTAGTTTTACAAATGTATTTTAGTCATGTAGCAGGTTTCCATGTTGAAGAACCTCCATAAAGTTTCTCTCTGTTGTTGTGAATCTGATTGTGGTTTCTGCTGTGCTCTGTGTTACAGTGATACAGGGTCAGTAAGGCTGGGGAGTGACTTACCCTCAAAAACACATCTGTGCCTTTAAAGGATCAACAGTGAAAATAAGCTGCAGCTACAGTTACCCATCCAGAATAAATGGTCTGTACTACAGTGAGGAAACATTCTGGTTTACTAAAGGATTAATGATGGCTGTAGTCTGAGAACAGACTCAGACTACAGAGGTCGTGTGAGTATAATTGTCTACAAGACAGGTGCACCTCTGAGAATCAGAGACCTGAGAGAGAGCGACTCAGCTGAGTACAAGTTCAGATCACAACAAACCAGGTGGGAAATATACAGGTGAACCTGGAGTCACTTTGTCTGTCACAGGTAACGTTTTCACTGGAATATTTATCAGTTTGTTCCAATCATTAACGACTGAGAATCTGTGTGTGTTGCTTTTGATTGTACTTTTCTAGTTTAGTTAATGTCTGTTCTTGCGTCACATGTCCAGACCTCCAGGTGCTGGTGGAAAGATCATCAACCCAGACAGAGCTGAAGTGTCACAGCAGTTGTAAAGATAGCTGATCGTCCTTCATATGTCTGGTACAAGAACGGACTGGAAATAAAGGAGGAAACATTTTCCCTTAGAGTCTCTGTTAATGATGACAAACAGCTATTCCTGTGCTCTTAAAGGACGTGAGGATCACCGCTCCCCTCCAGTGTGTGAGTTTACTCCACAGTGTCACTAATACAATGTGAAACTTAAACCTTCCCACTACACAGTTTATGTCTAATATTGAACAACCTTTGTATAAACTATTGACTCAATAATATTCACTTCCACTTTATTAAAATCATCCTTGATTTAAAGTTAAAATGAGAAATAAAACACATTTTCATATTGATGTTGAACGTCTCCTCATGTTTGTTGTTCCAGATGCTCCAAAGCTTCTCTCTGTGTCAGTGAGTCCCTCTGGTGAGATAGTGGAGGGCAGTTCAGTGACTCTGACCTGTAGCAGTTATGCTAACCCAGCAGCTAATTACACCTGGTACAAGGAGAATGACCGTAAACTTCCCAGTCAACAACCACAGCTCTTCTTCAGGTCCATCCAGCCCTCTGAGTCTGGAGAGTATTACTGTGCAGCTGAGAATGAGATGGGGAGGAGGACATCAGCACGCATCTTTATTGATGTAAAATGTGAGTGAGGCAGTTTATTTTAAAATCTATATAAAGCTGATTAGTAACCAGAACTATGTTTTCCAGCCATAATGTTTCTCATGTTGCCATACACATAACTATTAACTGTTACTCATTTAAATACAACATGTAGCTCTGCAGTTAAAGTATGTTGTTAATGTTTGTTGTTCCAGATGCTCCAAAGCTTCTCTCTGTGTCAGTGAGTCCCTCTGGTGAGATAGTGGAGGGCAGTTCAGTGAATCTGACCTGTAGCAGTGATGCTAACCCAGCAGCTAATTACACCTGGTACAAGGAGAATGAAGACTCACCAAAAGCTTCAGGACAGATCTTCACCATCACTGACCTCAGACCTGAACACAGTGGGAATTATTACTGTGAAGCCCAGAACACAAGAGGACGTCGTAACTCCACCTTAAATCTGACTGTTGTAGCAGGTGAGTTTACATTCACTTACTCAGATACTGCAGCAGGTCATAGCACACCATCTGATGTTCAGCTCAGTTGTTTTTGAAAAAGTTTTTTTTATATATGTTTCATCCATACCACACGGTTTTATAGATAAAAACTGGGCTTCAAAAACACTGAATATGTGTTTGTAGGGTTAAGAAGGAAACTGCCTCTTTTTCTTTTCTTTTTACAGGTGGTTAGCAGGAAGTCTTCATGAGCTGTGACAGAATCATTGTTTGTTCTTTTACTGATTCAGTGGTCTCGTAGAAATGGGAAATCATTTAAATGAGACCAACTGTATAATGACTAAGTCTAGTAAAAGTGATAATAGGACAGAACCGAGCAGCGGTTTAACCGTAGACTGTAAATAAAGATGGACGTAGCTTCCGTTATGTCACCCACAGGATTGTGAAGAGTGGTTGGCTACTCAGGCGTCGCCATCTTGGCAGTATCTGACTCCGCCTCCCGGCTAATTCAAAAAATGAGAAATAGGTGGAGGTGGAGAATGTGTGGAGCTGATACTTTGGTCCATACCCTACCGTTAGCGTCGTTAGCACAGCAGGGTGTCTTGCTCGAAGGCTAACCCAAGGCTAATTCATTCACAGGCTAATTAGCAAGTTACTAGGCCAGGCTAACGAGCCAAATATGTTTTTTTTTGTATCAGGCTGTAAACATGTTTATTTCCATTGTAAAGTCGAGCATTTTAACATAGAAGTCTATGGGGATTGACTCGCTTTTGGAGCCAGACTCTAGTGGTCAATAGAGGAACTGCAGTTTTTCTCACTTCCTGTGTTGGCTTCAGTTTTCAGCCCTGAAAGAGAAGACTGTTTTTGATTTCATATGTAGATCACACATCCTTCAGACTGATTCTGACTGTCCTCAGGTCTCTTGGATTTAAAAAAAAAAATTAAACATTTCTTTTACACACATCTGGTTTTGGATTAGGTTCAACCTTTGTGATATTTGCCTCAGAAGTAGATGGATTTATTACTAGAAGATCGTAAATACAACAAGAGCTGTGACATTTTTATTCATCTAAGGAGAGCCACAATTATTTTACTGTCCCAAAAACAAAATATATTTAATTGTAAGAAGAATATGTACATATTATCACTCTGAGGTCGGTGAGGCTTAACGTCCTGTAACATTTGAACTGTCATTGCATCACCACTACCTAGGAGCATGGATGTTAGCAGCCATCGGAACAACCACTGCTGTCATCATCGCTGTCGTTCTCCTCTCTGTCTCTATATTGATGAGGTAAGCAGTTTGCTTTCATCAAATCATTAATTAATGCTGTGTATTACAACCTGGATCTTTTGCCACTATTTCTATAAATTTTGAATAATTGAAGCCACCAAAGTAATCTGGAAACACTGGGGCCATTTTTACAATATTTAGATCATAATTTTGTGCATGATATAATAAGCTGATCTTTTTGTTAATAAAGGGTTTTTCTTTCACATATTTTGGACTGGCAGCGAATCTTTAAGTAGCGTATCAGACAGATGAAACCAGGCTCCACCTCAGCCTCTCGGTGACTTTTAGTTTGTTTCCTGAAGTAGCTGCACCCAGGTTCCTTGAAACTTGAGTTTTCCATTTATTAAATAATTAAAAATGTAATAATTTCAGCTGTTTAACCAGAAAAAAGAGGGCCTCCGAGCACCCATCTGAGCCTGGAGAGAGAGCAGACAACAGGGAACAGGTGAGGAACGGCAAGTTCAGTATGTATGTTCATCAGAGGGTCGGCTACAAAGAAATGTGAAAATAATTTTTCTTGTCGCTGCTGTGTCTATCCGCTCAGATTCAGCAGGATGACCTCACCTATGCCAATGTCACGTTCTCCCAGAACGACGTGGATCTTCTCTACTCCAACATCAGAGCAGCTCGGCCCGGGAGACAAAAGGACGGGGAGGATATTGAATACGCTGCGGTCAAATTTAACAGTGGCAGCGCTGCCCCGAGGTGAGCAGCTCTTCACGCAGGGACATTATCCTCTCTGTTGCATGTGCCTGGTGTATTTTTTACCAATTTTATAATAACTCTGGGACTATTTGTATCTTCGAATATCTTTAACCCACCTTATCTTTTTATTTCTCTCTCAGAACCAGAGGTGAAGAAACACGGGAGGATGTTGCTTCTCTGTACAGCACAATCAACAAAACCTGCTGAACACACGGGGAACAGCCAACCTGGTACTTATATTAAGCAGTTTGTTTAAGCGGGTAACTGCTGATTAAACATATTTCCTTCATTAGGACCAGTCTGAATATAAAGAGCTGATACAAACAAAACATTTTTAACACAAATTTAGATTCACAAACGTAAACAGAACATAAGAGTTCAGTTTATCTTCAGTCAGCACAGGTTAACTCTGAACAACCTGTAAATGATTTATTACAATTTTCAGAAGCCTATTTAATATAGTATTACAGACACGTCAAATTAAACTCCCTCTAGGTCATTTTAAGTATGTTTTAACATTTCAAACCAACAACAGAGTGACATGAATAGCTATTTGTATTTACTGCATGTTTCAAACTGACGTATTTTTACCTTTGACCTTTTAGACTTTATTGTAAACCTGTACATTTGTAAAGATGAGTAGAACCTATGTATCGTTGGATTGGTGAAGATGGTGTCTGTATTTACCACATCCTTTTCTCAACAGTAGGTTTCATGTCAGACAGAAAGCATGTGTGACAGATTTATTATTAGCCGTTTTATAAAAGCTACAATAACCTTGAGTTGACTGGTTTTAGTAGTTTGTTGCTGCCAGTCGTGTTTCGAAAAACTGGACTATATCTGTCACTATTAGCGGCTACACTTTCAGTTCTCTGTTCCACAGTGAAAACACAGCTGAATAAAATGCTCTTGGCATAGAGACTGGGTTAAAAATGAGCTTTAAATCTTTGGGTCCACACGAGGACGGCGTGCAGTTGCCGCTAGGACGCCTCTACAGCCTGCAGCCCTCGACAAACAGTTGATTAACAGCAGCTTCCAGGCTTGTGCATTTAGCTTGCAGGCTGGGATTGCTGGAGCACTCTGCAGCCAAAGGCCAGCGCTCCACCCAGGTGTCCTTTCCTAACATGTAGATGAAGCTGAGAGAGAGCAAAGAGAGACAGAGATAGTTATATTTAGACTTTACAGTTTAGGAGATAACAGTCCTGTTTAATCTTGTGATTGTTGACCCGCTGTCCGCTTTATTAGGAACACCTAAACAATCTGATGCAGTCCAGTACAACTGCTCTGCCACGTTTCCTGTAAAATGGCAAGTTTGTGTAAAACCAACTATGTTTATTACTGAGGTTGTAGCTAGTGATGGTGTAAAGCAACACCACTGCAAACTACAACCTACTACATAGTTAAATTAACACCTTTCTGACAGTGTCAATCAAAACTGAACTGTTGTACTAGATTGCATTAGTAGTGTATTTAATGAAGTTTTTTGGGGGTTTTTTTTGTTTGTTTTTTTTTTTTTGCTTCGTTACCCGTTTATTTCACTGTCAATCTTCCACTTGTCGTCTCTGGGGCCGATGATGAGGTAGTGGGTGTCCTCCTTCAGGCTGATCCCCTCTCTGCATCCTCCATGTGACATGAAAAGCCTCGTCTGGCCGACTTCCACTGCAGCCTCCACACCTGGAGGGGAGGCACAAACAGACATGCGATATGGAATCATTTACATCTGAATTATGTTGCATAAATAAACATTTAAGCATGAAATAACGACACTAGTCTGGATATGTGGTCTCCCATGACTGTATTAATGTTGTTACAAGACTTTGTCTCCCTGACAGGATGGAAATTATAGATTCAGATTAAAATATAATATCAGATTAGCTTCATACAAAATTATTGAGATCATTTCAGTTTCCAAAATTGTTTGCTATGAACATTGACACTGTGCAAGCGACTGACGAGCCGGTGCAGCATCAAGAATAAAATGGTTCAAAGAAAGATGGCAGTGAAAGCAGCAACTACTCAAAACCAAAATAGAATTGTTGTTTTTCCTTGGCCATCGCTGACAGGCTTGAGTTAACAAGTCAGTGGAGTGTGTCTGTAGTGGCAGCAGTGTGTGTGTGGGGGGTGGGGGTGTGAGTGAGTGTGTGAGTGTGTGTGTGTGTGTGAGTGTGTGTGTGTGAGAGAGATAGCACTGACTCACCCAGCTTGATAACTTGTGTGATCTCCACCTTGTACGTGTCGTAGAAAGTCTGGTTGACACTCAGCACCTTCACCTGGAAAACTGAAGCATAACAATAATAAAGGTGTAATGTTTTGTCCTGTTCGTGATGAGGCCTTACAGATGTTTACAGATGTTCATGGACCAGGGAGGATGAATCCTAATGTTTTTTTTGACGTGCCAGTGGGAGCATTTGTCACATATATACAAGAAATATCACATTACTGAGTGTTTCCATAGTCTAATCGTCAAGAAATATTCTTATTATTAATCTTAACACTGGATAAATCTCATGTTATTTATACTACTGAGATCAATCAAAACAACAAAGTGGTGATACAAAGAAACATTAGCTGTTTACAAAGAACCACTGATGCTCTGCAGAGCTCACTTCATGCAGAACGGTGTTTTTTTTACCTTCAGTTTAATCTGTAACAGGATGTAGGGGGAGTTTTAACAACTCTTCCTGGAAAAATGTGAAAGCATTTGACTTTGTGTGTGTGTGTGTGTGTGTGTGAGAGAGAGACAGTGTATCTTACCATGGTGTAAGCTCTTGCAGGCAAACGTCTCTCTCTCTTTGTTGGGGTAACTTTCACTGTCGGGTTTGGGGATGCAGCAGTCACCTGGAGATTGTGAGAGAGAAAAAAAAAAGTAAACTGAAAATAACACGCACACACACCCACGAATGCGCTGTTGAAGGCACACGCACGCCCTCACCCTGTGTGCAGCGGCAGACATTGTCTCTGCAGATCCGACTGAGCTCCTCTTTGTCCTCTTTGGGAGTGTAGGTTCGACTGCAGCGGTGATCTGACAAACCACGAGACACCACAATATTTAAAGTTGCAGTATTGTTTTTTAACTTTCAAATAAGCAGGACACATTCTGAATTATCAGTCTGCATGGTTAGGGCTAAATCTGAACACTTGTGAATATCTGAATAAAGGATTCTGTGACGAGCAGCGTCTGTTCTCCGACCTGGGTTGTAATATTCGTAGACGGTAACCGAGGACGGCTGGAGGAGGCCGACTTTAAAGTTCTGCTCAAGCCTGAAGATCAGGATATCTGGCTCTTTGTGTGACACCTGAGGAGATGAGCAGAGACGATACAGCCAGTGGGAACATTTATTAAACAAGCTTGAGGTGTGTAATGGTGCGTTCAATTTAAACTGGGAAATCAGAAGTTCCAAGTCTGAAATTTCAACTGGGGACGCCCCCTGAAGTCGGATATTTGATTCGGAAAGCCGGAAGAACCTCGCCAACCCTGACCTCGAAATCCAAGATGGCTTCTCTGTGCATCAACTGAAGTGAAAGCTGTAGTAATTTACTGTTTATTAGTGCTCATTAAGTCAGTCGTACACAGGTGGACATGTCGCCATGGTGTTTCTATGCACAAAATACCACCTAGTGATTTGTTATCAACTAGTATTGCTAAAAATAACGAGCTTCATTCCCAGCTACGACATCCGACGTAAATGGAAGTACGAGGTCCTCGTTATCCGTGTAACAGTGTTAGTCAGTGGAACCTCCTCGAATCTGGGACTATTGCAACAACAGATTTTACTCAGTAAAGTTATCCAGATGACTCAGTAAACCTGCTCTTTGGAAAAGGAGCGTAAACAAAGACAAGACTTGAAATGAAGCAGCAAGTCACCGCCACGCTGTAGTTACCTTGAACAGGTGGATGATCAGGGAGCCTCTGTCACTCAGGTTATCAACAATCTGGAAGTTTTTGATGTAATGGTCCACTGAGTTGGACAACTGGACACACACACACACACACACACACACACACACACACACACACACACACACACACATATATATATATACAGAATAAGTTAGCAACACTTGCCTACCACAAATATATCTTATGGATCAATGCTTCAAATATGTGAAATCAGGGACCTTTAAACAACAACATTAGCAGTAAATAAATCGTTCTCTTGTGGCTTTAACTCTTGAAAATCATTTTCTTTGGTGATTTACAGTGAATAAGAATAATCTTTATCCTTCTGAGTTTTCAGATTTAGTTAGATTACCAGCTCCAGGTCCGAGTTCAGTGGGGTGAAGCCGGTAGGCAGGCTGATATCCAGGACCACCATCCTGACATTGGGTACTAAAGCTCTGTGGAAGAGAGAGAGAGAAAAGCCTGAGAAGACGCCAACAGTCTCCTATTGATCACTGGAACACTGATAAAGCAGCATATCAGCTTGACTCATACCATAGACTCAGAAAACTATCAGGCCGGTCACTGACGGGATTCGTCATCATTTAGTCGATTGAGCTAAAATGAAACTTATAATATTTTTCACCTGAGAACATTTTAGTCAAAAAGGTTTAACACACCTAACACTCACCTCACTTTGATGGTGATGTCGTAGGACTTCCCTACCTCTCCTGGAGGCTGAGCTGTTACGGGACAGAAACAAAGTATTATTTAATATGCAGAGGTTGGGTTTAACACCCTGTGGACGTCAATGTCTTTAATAGTATATTTTCTGTCGTGTGACTTTTATCCATTATTTTCATTTCATTACATTTATCTGCTCTGTGTTATTTTGTGCGTTTTCAGGTGCGATTGTTTTCCTCCTTTCTCTTGCGTGTTGTTTTTAACAGTGTTGTACAAAGTTATATTAGTCATGTTAAAGTATTGTATTTTTATTTCAGGTCGTTTCTTTAAAAACACTCATAGCAACACAAATATAGTTTACTTATTTTACTTTAAATTTCATTCTTTATGTGATGTTTTATGATGGTGACTTACACTATAAATATAAATTGTTTCCTGCTGCGTTATGATTACGCTGTTTGTTTTCAGATATATGGAGGAAATGGAAGAATTCAGGATATTTCTTTTCTTTGCTAAAATGCATTTCATCCACTTAAAAGAGACTTCAGTGAACCCAAGAAAACAGGAAACACATCTGACAACTTTAATTTACCGCTGGATTCTTGGATAGTGACGCTGAGCTCAAAGTGCTCGCAGGGCTTTTTCTCATCCACCTCATGCACTTGGTTGTAA